AGGGTTCGGGGCGCTCAGCATGTCGATTATGATTTGTCCGAAGAGGCTGGTTTCGCCCTGTTGACCTCCAGCCTTGACCAGATCGCCCAGGAGATTCGCAGCATCGTCGGTAATACCATTATCAAGATAAATCCTCAGAAGCTCGAATTGAGCTCTGTGGTCCTCTGGAGTCAGCTCTATGGCCCGCTTCGCATATTCGACAGCGCGCCTAGGCTGCTTGAGTTCGATTTGCCACTCAGCGAGACGCCTATAATTTACACCGAGAAGGGAGTCATTCTGCGAAGCATTTTCACTGCTCAGAAACTGCAGTGCACGTTCCATTTCTTGGCAGGCCTTCTCGTACTGTCCGTTCGCTGCAAGCGCTCTCGATAGTCCCTCCAGACATTTCCATCCATGGCTTCCCAGGCTTACAGCATTGCCGTACGCCTCGATCGCTTCCGGAAATTGCCCTTCCTCAAAATACGTTTCTCCAAGTCGCTCGTGCATGAGAGCCTTCTCTTCGTTACTAGTCATTGTGTGCACCCCTTTACACCACTCTGCTACGTCTTGGACTGATACCGTATTGTATCCGTATGGACCATGTGAACTGCTGGTATCGCTGCCATCATCTCGTATATCATTCTGTGCATTTTCGTGTGGCGGTGGCATTTGACGAAATCCTCTCAGCCAGTCGAATGCCTTCGCAGCATCCCACTTCCTGTCACATAGCCAATGCCAGGCGACCGTTCGCATAATGTTTTCTAGCAGAGATTGATTCGGATTGGGGCTAGCCTTGACCTTTTTCAACCACTCTCGATCAAGCCTCCCTAAATGGCTGCTAGCAGTTGGGTCCTCCAACCATTTCCGGAAGGTTTCTACTTCGCCTGGTTCACGATACCATATCAGACTCTGGCAACTAGACCAGTGCCTCTCGACAACTTCACCCGTTACGAAAATGGAGAAGAGGCCCTCTCCAATCTCCTGTTTCTGAGATGGCGTCAGCTCGTCATAGCCTGTTGCTTTCTCCAGGAGGTCCTGTAGATGTTGTGGTAGAAAATCGAGAAGGTAGTAACCTAGTGCTTCAGACTCCTTGTCCGGCTCACCAGCAAGCATGCTGAACGTCCGTCTCACGATGGTTAAATTGGCGTCAACTTCATTGACTTGGATGTTATTCTTCATGCCCTTCTGCTCTGCAATCTGCTCAAACCCGAATGTGTTGTGGGCTAAGGAGTCGACTTTCTGAGATAGGCTCCACAAGAATGATTGGACGCTTCGAAGATCTCCCCTGGTGATCGTAATTGTTGCTGTAAATGTCGGTGTATCGTCAACACTCCTCGGTTTAACTCTCCTTTTCGTGAGCACATCATCCATGTCATCAGTGACAACTACCGTACCGTCCCTTCTGATACTCAGGATGTTAGAGTATTTGCCCTCCAGTTTCTTCCTCAGTCGTAGGGTTCCCCTTCTCTTGGAACGAAGTATCAGTGCGGCATTGAGCTCATTGATACCAAAGAATATTTTGCCACATATAACCCATATAAGGAGCTCGTTCAGCTCGTCGATTTCATCTCCGGTCAGTTTCTCTTCCAGTTGACCAATTACTGTTTGAGTAATCTGCTTTTCGTTCATGTTCGACTCATTGAGAACCCTGTCGATTTCTGTCTCCAACCCGTCAGAAGAAACTACTTCTCTGATATTCTCGAGCGCGGCCTTCACTTTGTTGAAGTTGCCATGCACCTGCTTGGCTAAAGTGCCCAAGACTTTTCTTCTTAGCGGCTCGTCTTCAGAATCCTGGAAAATATCGCTGAACCGGAGATAATGTTCAACGTACTTCTGAATGTCCGGTTCGTTGTATTGCTCGATTTCGAGGTTTAAACGGGAAGGCAGCTCCTTATTCTGGAATTCTATATCTCGCCTCGCAGATAATAGCACTCGTACCGTTGACGACTGAACGGAGCTGCAGATAATATTGAGTAATTGCTCCTTCTGCTCCCTGTTATCTGAAGATTCTTCTGGTAGACCGCCAAGGCCATCGAGGATGAGATAATGTGTCGTATTCCCCCTGGGTGACCCAATGCGAAGGAAGTCCCATATTTCCTGGCAGCTGGCATCCCGAAAGAAGGTGGTATTCTCACTCTTGCTGTCACAAGCTTGAGAAAGAGTCTTTGCATACGCGCTATCCTGATCCGCCAGCTGGATTGCGATGCACTTCAGGGCGGTCAAAATAGGCCGTTTGTCCTGGTCGTCTTTAGCTGTGACGTTTGGGAAGAAGTGTGCAGCAATTAGGGTCCTCGGCGAGTGTCGAGCAGGTGACTCGTATATCGACCGTAGATAATACACCATAGCAGACATGATGACGGATTTGCCCGTGTTTGGAGCGCCTGTGAGGATTAACAACCTATCTGACTCCTTGTCATCTCTCTCCGCCCACCGACGAAAGCCAGGATGCTCCATGAACCATACTGCCGTGTTGGGAACACAATCTTTTCTCGGCTTGTCGCATCTCTCCTTGGAGGATATGTGAAGCGAGTCATCGATACCCAGCTTTTTCTTGATATTCTCAATGTACTTCCGTTTAGAATCCTCTGAGCTGCGCTTATCATCGGCGGCTTTGAGGCTCGCGACGTCATTTGCCATCTGCTGGCTTTTGTCGGATTCCCTATCGAAATACTCTGTAAGGTCGCCCCTAGTATCCAATACTACCTTTAATGTCTGCGTCGACTGTATCGAGTGATGAGATTTCGTGAGTCTCTCAAACTTCTCAAGCTCAGCCTTAATTCCAGAGTCGTCCTGGATAAGCAAGTGCTTCATCCGTGACTTGAATTTGCGCCACTTTCCTGAGTCCCGGAGCTGAATGGAAAGCGCACAGATATCGACGAAGCTAATCATGACTTGGTGAATGGCTTGTTTAAGTTCGGGCTCGATTTCGTTGAACTGGTCCATCTTCTCGTAAATCCGAAAGACGCTGAGACAAGGTTCGAGTGTTTCGAAGAGCCCTTCAATCGCTTCACGAAAGGAACGGAGCTGCTCCGGGATGGCCAGGAGTAAAAATAGCGCGTTGAAACATATGCTAGATGGTGCTCCAAAGACCTGGGTTAAAGTCAGTATCACTAGGTACATTACCTTGACATCCCCGCGAAATAACTCAAAGGCAAAGGACTAACTGTTTCTGCCCCTTGTGCGGCTACACCACCAAGTAATTTCAAGCATCGTAGGATACTGATCCCATAGTTTTTCAGCTTCTCTCTGCCTGATGTCTCTTCAGATTCCTCTGGAGATCGGCTCTTTTCTAATTCTTTGATACAATCATCCAGCGTCTTCGGAGGTTTGATATTGACGTTCATTCCAGTGTGCTCGTTGAATCTTATAGTGGCATCACGCCACATCTCTTCCATGGAGGAGGGTTCGGATTGCACCGACTTGGCCATCGTGAACTTCGCGCAGGAAATAATTCCTCTGCCCATCTACCTAGTTTGCCGCGATGCAATGAGCCTTTGCAGACCGCGATTCGCGAGACCGGGACCACGCGGTCAATAAATGGCTTTGCCATGGATAGCGGGGAGACCTCAGGGCTGAAAATTAGGCAACGTGCCATTACAAGGGTTTATATAAAAATAGCTATAACCCGATAAATATCGAACTGTGCAATTGGTGAGATTAGGATACTCTACATAGTGCTGGCTCGTAGGTACCTAGTACAAGACCCCTGGAGATCAAGGTCCCTTAGGTAATGTGAAGCTATTCCCGCTTCTATCAATAGTTAATAAGACGTCTTTTAGTTGATTTAGGGTTAATAGTAGTATGGAAGGCGTGGGCACTACTAATATATGGTAGGTTTGGCGATGCAACGCCAACCTTATTTGCCGACCTCAGCTAAGGTGGTTGTCAGGCTAAGAGTATTCAGTTTTCTCCATTCAGCCCAATGTGCAGAACGAAATATTTTCTTTAGTATCGCGTGAAACTACCTACGTAGGTAAAGTTGGGCGGTCGGCAAGTTGTGATATGATCCGTCGATGTTTCGAACGTTAAGTCCGAACATTATTACCTAACGTACTACTTATGCATCTACAGCGGAACCCATAGTATCATTCGATATAAGAATAACTACATGCCCTAGCGGAAAAGCCTCAGGACTTCGTAGGCTTTTCATATGTCTGTCAACTTATCACATATGGGAAAGTCGACGTAATTCATAAGAAGGTAGGTACTTAAGAGGTAGGTACCTAATTTTACATATGTAGTGCTTAAGGTTTTATGATGCAAAGTAGACACATGTCTACCTGTACTTAGGGAATAAGCCTGTAATGGCGAAATCTCTACTAAGAACGATGCGAATGACATTAAAGATACTACCACGTGCTTCTATCACGTCATTTATCAAACAGACCTCAAATGCCTCTCTTCCAAGATACAACTTGGCGAGCTTCCTTGTACGGGTCGACGTGCAGCTCAATCGCTCTCGACGCCACGTTGGAAGGCTGCCGTCCCGTATGTGCCTTCAGTCTCTCAGTTAGTTGAACTGCTGTAAGTCGCTGCTGGTTTCGTGAGCTCATGATGGATGTTTGGCAGTAGACACTGATAGTATTTTACTTCCAGCCCAGATATCTTTTGGTTGTGCTATTGGAAGAAACGGCTGGTACGATTGGCGTTTCAAAAGTTTATATGTGATTCAATTGCTGTTTGTTTTAATCAGTGACTATCTCTTTGATCTAACCGCAGGGGGCAAAGCTAAGTAAAGGTCCTTGATCATACCCTTTTCTCAGAGATATTTTCTGTTAAATAGACAATGGATTTGTTTGTTATTTATTATGAATAGGTAGGTAGTTTTAAGAAACTTATGAACTATAGTCACTCCCTCACGTTGACATGGCTCGTCTAGATTACGGGGCCTGGATTAGGGTTTTAGGGACGACGCTAATGCTGTATCAGCGTATTTACGCCGCATAAGTTGGTAACAAGGTTAGGTATGCCTTGTAATGGGGATCGGAAAAAGACCAGAAAGCGAGAAAAAGAAGATTATACGACGCAGGCCTGATTCGAACAGACGCCCCCGAAGGGAATAGATGAGCTAGAGACCTACTGAAGAACATCGTAGCTGCTCCCAGAGATTATTCTAGTCTATCGCGTTAGACCACTCCGCCACTGCGCCGCTGTAAGTGGCGATGATTCGCTGGTGTCGATGTTACCGCTAATAGATTATTAAGTATTGTTGCAGGGTTTTCACTTTAATCATCTAAGTGGTGGCGTTGTCGATTGGCACTGTGTGATAGAACTGAACATTCAGATCCAATCTTGAAAGTGGGCTTCGAAGCGAAGCTCTCCACATGTTGACGTCTGATTTATAGTGGTATCCATAACGTTCGATTGGACACCCAGAAGCGTGTAATTCGAGAAAGTAATCAGTGGGATATTAGGGGGTTAAAGCGGATCATCTTTATTGTCAAGATGACCAATCCATGGAGTTTGAACGCTTGAGTGCTTTTCTCACTGAAAATCGCGTAATCCCAAGCGTCTATGTAGCAGAAGTTGAGCTATAAAGTATCCTAAACGCAATGTGTTCTGACATGGGCATGATGCAGCTTCTACCTACCATCCTAGGCAATCTTCTTGCGTCGTGATGGAGTGTGAATTCAACTGGAAAAAGCCCTCAAGCCAAGACTCGCACCGGAGTCATGCGCTCGAGCTCAGTTTCAAGTTGTCGACAGCCGGCTCGAAGCAACCAGATCTCAAGGAAAAAAATGTGTCACTGCTGGAATGAGTAAAACGAGTAGAACGAGACGTGACTTACTCACAGTACCAGAGGTAGTGGAAAATGATGTCTTGATATTGAAGCTTGTGTCTTCCTGGAATACATCATCGCTGAGATAATTCAGGTACTGATAAGATAAGAAGCTCAAAGAATGGAATGGTGGGGGAGTTTTGGCGGGGCTCACTGCTTGACTGTGACATAGCTTGCGTCTTATGATGAAAGATGCCCCGCAATTGACTTGCCATTGACTTCAGCACTTTCTCCTTGAATTGCCATACCGCTTTCGATGCTAAAGATCGCTGTTCGTATGTAGAATTTAATGTCAATACCTGGGATGTGATAATTATAGAGCAGTATATAACATCTTGCTAACATTCTGTAAACCACTGCTGGTTGCTTTTCCGAAGAATTTCGGGCTACCCCACCTTGACTTCCCGAGCTGAACCTCACATTTGGAGGGGTAAAACGTTGAAGCTCGCCGGCATACTACCTAGAATTTTCGGAGAACATCGACATGGGCATGATACCCGCCCATTGCTCCGTAAAGTATCCGGAACGGCAGATGGGACACTAATGTACTATAGTGGAAAGCCAAAAGTCAGAATGGAGCTTTGACTGCAGAAGGCCAACGAATGATACAATTGGCATTCGCGAAATAATCCGGGTCGTAGCCTCCATAGGTATTACCTCCATAATAAATTCTCGGCCGTCTGCGTCACCGTGGATCTGGTCTGACCCAACAGCCCCTCCAGAAGCCCGTAGACCCCCTCTCTTCTTCTTTCAACTATTTTTTTCGTCGTCACTGCTTTAATTCCCTCAGAGTTCTCGCTAATCCTACAACAAACAATACACTTTCTCATCATTTCTATACCTCATAACGTCTTTCTGACTGCCTACTACCCTTCCAACCACACAAAGGTCCCTTATACTCTCAATTGCTCTGTATTACTCAAGTCACAATGGGTTTGATGGATAAGCTGAACCTCAAGCCTGGCGTCATCTACGGCCAGGACGTCTGCAAGGTAGGCTACCCCCTAGCTATCAAGCTAATGTCCTAAGATCTAACATGTCCTTCCCAGGTATTCCAATACGCCAAAGAGAACGAGTTCGCTCTTCCCGCCGTCAACGTCACCTCATCCTCTACTGTCGTTGCCGTCCTTGAAGCAGCCAAAGAATCTAGATCCCCCGTTGTTATCCAGGTCTCCAACGGAGGTGCTGCTTTCTTTGCTGGAAAGTCTATTCCTAACACCAACCAAGAAGCTTCCATCGCCGGCGCGGTTGCTGCGGCACACTACGTCCGCGCAATTGCACCCATCTACGGTGTCCCCGTCATCTTGCACAGCGATCACTGCGCCAAGAAGCTGCTCCCATGGCTAGACGGTATGCTTGATGCCGACGAGGCATGGTTCAAGCAGCATGGCACCCCCCTCTTCAGTAGCCACATGATCGACTTATCAGAGGAGGACCTCAAGTACAACATCGAGACAACAGCCAAATACCTTAAGCGATCGCAGCCGCTGGGCCTCTGGTTGGAGATGGAGGTTGGCTTGACCGGTGGTGAGGAAGATGGTGTCAACAACGAAGATGTCGACAACAACTCCCTATACACACAGCCGGAGGACATTCTTGCCATCTACGAGGCACTGAGCCCCATCTCCAACCTCTTCAGCATTGCTGCTGGTTTCGGTAACGTCCACGGTGTCTACCAACCTGGCAACGTCCGACTTCACCCCGAGCTACTCGGCAAGCACCAGGCCCACGTCGCCGCCAAGCTGAACGACGGCCAGAAGAAGCCCGTCTTCTTCGTCTTCCACGGTGGCTCTGGCTCCAGCAAGAATGAATTCTTGGAGGCCATCTCCCACGGTGTTGTCAAGGTGAACCTTGACACAGATCTCCAGTGGGCGTACCTAGTTGGCCACCGAGACTACATTCTGAACAACATCGACTACCTAAGGACCCAAGTCGGCAACCCCGAGGGTGCTAACAAGCCGAACAAGAAGAAGTACGACCCTCGTGTGTGGGTGAGAGAGGGTGAGAAGACCATGAAGGCTCGTGTCATCGAGGCTTTTGAAGATTTCCGCACTGCCGGAAAGCTATGAATTACCTTAAATGAATTGGGCGAATTGGGGGCGTTGTCGGGCATAGGCAGTTCTCTACTGAGTACCTAGGTAGTTGTTAAAACGGTCAAAATGTGATACAATCTGTCTCAAACCTGTAAACCCCTCTTCTTCGGATTGATTAGTCTCATTGCCGTGTTGACGCTTGACCCTTCAATAGTACGTGCTTTCCGTATGTCTCCGCTACCCGTAACGCAGCATAACCGAAATCTCCAACGATGATAGCCGAGGCCCGGAATCATCTATATTAGCCAAGACTTGGGTCAGGTAATGCCATCCACTTTTAAGTGCTTCGGAATAAACGTAATGGCTCATTCGACACTTAAACACGGTAATAGGTCTCTGACTGCCAATCCTAACTCATGGATCATGGACAAGGCGACCCAATAGGCTTGCAAAGAAGTTGGGACCTTACGTCAGCTTGACGACGCAAAGGCTGAACTGTATCTGACTCATCCGTGCATTTTGAAGCATATCTGCCTTTAGCTGCATATTGAATATTAACATGCATCCTCTCGGCCATATTGCGATAAATGGGTGTGAGTATTTAGTGAGATGCAGCGCCAGTACCCAGCTTCAACGTCGTCCTACTCCAGCTCACCATCCCTAGGTAGGAGGCCCAGTCATTTCACAAGCACACTCTTCCAATATGAATAGCATGGGAATATACCACTTTACTGGGAAGTACTCCGGCAAGGAACCATCGAGTGATGCTCTCGCTCGAGCAGCAGGTGCGCCAACTCCATCGACGCGACGACGACGATGCATCCCGCTCCTACATGCCGCGAGCTGTCATAAGGTTTGAGGTCCGCCTTAAAACGAATATGCTGACATTTCTAGATACCGGTGTACGTTGCCGTCTTACTTGATCTCAGGAGATGTTCGCCAAAGTACTTGGTAATCCAACCCTCCCTCTGCAGAGGCATGCATACTGTACCTCCGTTCAGGAGGTGCTACCTAAGGTATACTACCCCTCCTTGCAACCTGACATGTCCCAGCATCTACAGTCCTTCTGTCGTTGGTGTTCACCCTCCAAGTCACAGGCGCCGTCGTTGAAGTAGCCACCTTGCATGCGCCACGCCCTAGTTCCCGTGCGCCAGTGTCACTAGAAACTAGGACCATCCAACTTCAATCACTGCGTCGTACAACCCGATGGCTCTTACCGGCATGCGTCTCCGCGGGGGGGTCATATCATGTTGATGACTCCTCATAAACTCTAAACTCGAGCTCGAAAAAGCCCTGGCACCCCTTGCGTATAAAGCTCATGTTGGTAGCTTACTGTCGCTCTCTCTGTTGAAGCTGGGTAAGGTAGACAAAGTGGAGCCGAATCTTTAGCGGCATCATTCAAAAAAGAGCCTCTCGACTACCCTCGCTAGGCTCATCAGTGGGACTAGATCGACCAAATTGACAGAGATCATCCACGACTAAGATGGCAATCATTGATCAGCTTGTATCGCCCTGGACATTTGTGGTCGGCTGTGCTGCTCTTGTGTTCTACTATCTCTATCCGTACTTGCTCACGTACGGCTACCTTCGCGATATTCCTGCGCCCTTCCCGGCGCAGTTTACCAACCTGTGGCTCCTCTATGCCGCCAGGCGAGGAAAGCGTCATCTCATTGTAGATGAGGTTCACAAGAAGCTGGGACCAGTTGTCCGGATCCAACCAAACCACATCAGTATTGCCGATGACGATGCTATTCAAGCCGTCTACGGCCACGGAAATGGATTTCTCAAGTCGGATTTCTATGACGCATTCGTTTCCATCAGGCGCGGTCTGTTCAACACCCGCGACCGCGCTGAGCATACCCGCAAGAGGAAGTTGGTTTCAAGTACCTTCGCTCCGAAGGCGATAGCCCAGTTCGAGCCCTATATCCATCAGAATCTCGAGGTGTTCGTTAATAAATGGGACGAACTGGTTGAAAGTTCTTCCAGCTCAGACAAGACGGCGTATATAGATTGTTTGAAATGGTTCAACTACGTAGCTTTCGACACCATCGGGGACTTGGCATTCGGTGCACCGTTCGGCATGCTGAAGGCGGGGGCGGACATGGCCGAGGTACGCATGGCAGTCGACTCTGCTCCCGTCTACCTACCAGCCGTCGAGATCCTCAACCGTCGTGGAGAGGTGTCCGCTACTCTCGGCTGCCTTCCACAGCTCCTGCCATATGCCAAATGGCTACCTGACCCGTTCTTCAGTAAGGGCCTGGCCGCCGTGCAGAAATTAGCTGGCATCGCCATCGCCCGCGTGAAGGACCGTCTCGAGAACCCTCCCGATATTAGCCG